ACCAGAGACTTGCGCACAAGCCATCAGGCACCCTGTGAGCCGACCTTACAGAAGATGCCACCACCCGGCCCTCGGTGCCCGCACAGGCACCCTCATCTGCGTGGCCCCCCGCTGTCTGCGGCAGCACACCCCTAGTCAGCTCCTCTTCTACTCTCATACTTTATCTCCGGTAAATTCTTTTACCGACCAATGTGTCACCATGTCACCGACTGGCTGCCACTGTGTCCCACAAGTAACAAAAAGGAAAGTTGCTTTTGGTCAGAATGCCTGCAATTTAACGAACCCAGCATCCTCCCCTGAAAACCATCTCCAAAGATTCTGTTCAGCCATGAAAGTTTTAAAGGGAAATGAAGGAATAATTTCAGTTAATCATTGAGATAGGGGGTCCGAGTCGTTGTCATCCCTCAGCGCCCGCAGGCTTGTCCTAACCAACGGCTGGAGCCTGCTCTTCTGTGACTCAGGGAGGCTGGGGAGACGTCAGGTTTTCTATAAACAGGAGGTGTCGGGGGGTAGGGCACAGGGTCCTGCTCCCTTTCATATCTATTCTATTTAAAAAAAAATTCTTACATTTGTATTTTAAAATGGGTTCTTTCTAAAACATAACTATAAAGTTAGAGCTGTGCTTTTCTATAATCATATTCTGGAAAATTGTCAACTCATAAAAATGATTTTTTTTTTGGTTTGTTTGGAACTTGACTTCTATTTATTTATTTTTATTGAGTTATAGTCAGTTTACCATGTTGCATCAATTTCTGCTGTGCAGCACAATGCCTATTCTATTTTTTTTTTTGTATTGAGTAGGTACTTTTTTTTTTTTTGCCTGTTCTATTTTTAATCTTTGTTGTTGCTGTTATAAGGATCTCCTAAGAAACTGCTTAAGTCCGGACAGACTATCTTAAAAATCTCTCTGTTGTACAATTCCAGGAATCATCCAAAAAAACAAAAGTCGTATTCAGCATTGTTGCTGGAGAATACGCACTTGTCTTGCACAGCAAAGAATTCAAGAGCTGGGCACAGTGAAGTGCAAGCCAGTCTAACTGGGGAGATACGCACTCCATAGGCAGAGTGTGCTCCATCTCAGGAGGCAAAGAGGCCCTAGGAGGTACACGTGCCACAGACAGAACGCAGCCCGTCTCACTCAGAAGAGAGAGCAGCTAGAAGGCGTGGGGCTGGTTAGTTTTCATGGGCCTGGTAATTTCGCATGCTAATGAGTGGGGAGATTATTTCCAACTATGTCACAGAAGGGGTGGAGATTTCCAGGAATTGGGCCCCGCCCTCTTTTGGACCATTTATGGTCCTCCTGGGAACTGTCATGGCGCTCGTGGGTGTGCCACGAGGCTCAAGGTCTGCTAGAGGTCAAATCTTCTGCCATCTTGGTTCTAACCATTTCACTTTCTCTCCTTAATTGCTGTGTCATTCCTTCAATGGTTGTGCGCTGTCCCCTTCCCTCCTGTCTCATCATAACTTCTGAAATTACTTTCCCTCATTATCTCTATATGGTCACATTTAATCTGAACACTTAAAATTCTGTAATCATATATATTCAACGAGATCCTTAGCTTTGGGATAAAATCTGCCTGCTTTGAGTCTCTTTGACATTTGTATTCATATCGCTCTTCTCCGAAAGAGTAGTACCATTTGGTAGAACATGAAAAAAGCCCCACAAATCCTGGATCTAGGCTTGTCTTAACTTTAACAAGGCATTTATCACAGTGTTCTCATTTTCAAGATGCATCTAAGATACTTTGGAGGGATAACATTCCTTAATTCAATGATTTTGGGGCAGCAATAGACAGAGAATTTCCATCTCTTCAACAGTCCCCACAGGCTATCTTCGCACCATATGGAGCTGTTTTCTAGTTCCCTCCTTGAGCATCTCATTCCAGTTCAGCTCTGGGGGTGAAAATATATTATGCTTCACTAATTACTGGAGCCGCCTGACTCAGATTTGCGAAATAGTCTGGCTCTCCTCCATATGTTGTGTGCTATCCGCTGCTAATATTTCTGGTGACTGGTCAATTTGCCTCCAACTGGCAATTTAGAGCAGAGATTTAAGGAGTTCTGATTAAAATTGGGGCTATGATTCTTCCTTGGAACAATTCCCCAAAGTTCAATAGTGCTATGCCTGGAGCATTTTCATATGCATGGGAGGACAAGACTTCCCCATCCTGTTATTGTAGCTTCTTTAAAAAGCTAATGAAAAGTGCAGCGTGAGGGCTGGGTAGGAGCAGAGCAGACGGGCCAGAGCACCAGGGATGGAGCTGCTGCACTGTATGCAAACGAGGGCCTTTCACAGGCAAGGAGGCAGTATCTGATGGAGAGCTGTTTGGAACTCCTTTTCCTTGCTTAACAGCACTGAATTTGAATTGATGGGATAGTTTCTAGCAGGTTCTTCAGGACCACTGTCTCTTTGCAATGGTGTTACCATGCAGGCAATCACAGAACACAACACAGTGCTAATTTCAAAGCAAAATTAAGTGGCAGTAAAGCAGGGAGTATGAGGCCCAGAGCTCCTTCAGTCCTAACGGCTTTTGAAAAAATTCACCATTCTGACTCCTGAGGAGATAATAATGGAAAATTTTGTTCTATGGCTTTAAAGAACTGAGTGATCAGTAATGGATGAATTCTATTCAATGTGGTGATTTTACCCCAATTATCACACTACTACCTGAACTTCAGGGTTTTTCTTTTTTAATGCATCACTTTCATATTTGATTATCTCTTATATTCAGAAGGAGTTATACGAATATATCATTTTGTCAATAATTTCTTTAACTTTTAAAAAGTTTTTGCCTTATTCTAAACAATAATAGTCATCAAACCACAGGCTGTCTGAGCTAATTATCTTTCCATTAAAGTAAATGCATATTTTTAAAATACTTTCCATGTACCATTTAAATGATCATTTGTTCTACCAGTGGTATTGTCAGAGCAGGCAGAGAGCTAGACGTGAGCAGAGGAAGGGGGGCGCAGGCCACGTGGCAGGACCTGGGCAGAAAGGCGGGGCCCAGGCCAAATGCAGGAAACCAAACATCATGTGAGCACCAGGGGTCCCTGGGCAGAGAAAGAAAAGCAGGAACCTCTGGGCTGATAAGGGGTCACACCTTCTGGGGTGATGAGTGGCCCTGAGGCCAACAAAGAAAGGTGGGAAAAGGCAGGGATCTCCAGTGTCCAAATGTGACCTTTTGCTCATTATGCCCTCATTTCAATAAAACTAGCCTTGCAGATCAGAAGTACCCATCATGCACCGACACCATGACACTTTTGATCCAGACTAAATAAGGACAAAAATCCCTCCTCCCTTGGGAAGGTGCAGTTGGGATAAAATCAGGAAATACGACCCCAAACCCTTTCTTCCCCAATGAATATCCCACCCATTTATTTCTACACCCTCTGTGACCGACTTGCCAAAGAAACTCAGGGCAGCCGCTCCCCTGAGCCTGCCTGCTCCCCCCTTGAGAGTGTCCTGTCCATCCCTTAATAAATCCCCACCTTACTTTCTCAACCTCCGGGTCTTTTCTCTGAATTCTTTCTAGGACGGGACAAGAACCTGGACACCAGCTACATCTACCCGCAGCAGTATGAAAGGCACAGTGTATTTAGTTCTCCTGACATGGTCCTTAGCCCTTTAGATGAAACCGGCCCTCATCCCATCACATCACACACCATAAACCCTGAAAGCCAACTCTGTACCACACTGACTATTCCAAGTGTGACCTCTGTTTCCCTTCTGTATTCCACATGTGTTATTTTGGTCCTGAGTTATATTTTCTCTGAAATAATTAATGTTCCATCCACTATTTTTCATTGCATTTGCCTATAAAATCTTTAATCATAATCATAACAATTATATTATTATTATACTATTATTATTATTATTATTATAGACTTCCTGATATCAGGCATAGCCTTCTTAAATAGTGAATGTTACATCTTGTTTTTATCCGATCTGAGAATCACTGTGTTCCAATTTTTTTAAATGTAGGCTATTTATATTTATTGTAATAATTTGTTTATGTCTATGCTGTCTTTTTCATGTATTGTATCTTTCATATGCCCTTGCTCTTTCATTGTTTAAATGTTTCCATATAGCTTATAGATAACACTGTGCCTGGAGCGCTGACTGTTGTATTTCCAGCACCTAGAACAGTGGTATGGATGGACACAGGCGTTAACTCGTAAATGTTTGTTGGGTGACTGAATGGAGTAATGAATACCTTCTCTGCTACAGCTAATTTTTTTTTAGGTTGAATTTACCTGGTGAATTTGAAGGTGCTTCACATTCTACTAGAGCAGTGGTTCTCAAATCTCAAGATGCATCAGAATCACCTGGAGGGCTCCTTGACTGCAGGTTGCCGGCCCCACTCTCAGGGTTCTTATTCCGTAGCCCTGCAGCGGGACCTGAGAAGCTGCATTTTTAACCGGATCCCCCGTGATGCTGGTGCTGATGGCCTGGAGCCCGCACGTTAAGAATTGCTGGGCTGAAGGTTGTCTGTAGGTTTTGTAAAATTCCCAGGCCTAGATATTTTTTTCCGGACTTTTCAGATTCAAGAATAAGGTCATAACTTGATTTTTGCATATTTAAAGGGGAGGTTGTGTAGAATTTAAAGTTCTCTCATCCTGCTACTTTTTTTTTTAATCCTCGAGGTTTTAGATCCACATTATTGACGCGATTTAATTTAAAGTAAAAATTTCAACCTGGTGTTTGTCGATTTCTTTCCTGTTCTAGCCCATGTTTTCCAGAATTTCACCGAGAAAGCCAGTTTCATTCCAAAATCCTTTGCGTGGCTGTGCTTTCCCCCTGCGTGTAGAGGTCATTCTTCCGCACGGAGGAATCGTTCCACAGACCACATGTTCGTTTTCTGCTTCCTTTTTTCCACATCCAGGCGAGGACACCTCTCTCTACGCAGGCCCACAGATGCCGAGTGAGAGTGCTTTTTCTCTTTGATCACCTGGGTGATTTTAAAACCCCTGTAGCTAACCCTAAACTGGAGTGATGCCTACTCAGGTCCAGGGCAGCCGCGCTCCTGCGCCTGGGAATCATCAGGCAGGGGGAATATCGCTGACTTCTCCCCTTTGGCTCCTGGGAACCGCACATCCTGCCGCATGATGCGTGCCCTTCCGTCACCTTCCTCCTCACTGTCGTGCTTCTGAGAGCTGGTTTTCCAGGCGGATGAAAAACAAAAAGTGTTGGTGGGATCAGGGGTGTGGGTGAAGAGCCCACAGCCCCGGTGCCCTGGAGCGTGGCTCTGTGCCGTGGTGGCGGGCGGCAGAGGACCTGAGTGGTGGCGTCTCTGGAGTCTTTATCAGGACCTACCACAGGCTTGATTGAAGCCCATCCCTGCCTCTACACTGACGAGTCTAGATATCTAACGAACTTGCCTTTTCCCTCAGTCCTGCTGTCGAGACGTAGTTAGAGCAAATTTTCCCGCAGATTGGCATTATCACTGCTCCTTGCCAAGTCTTCACAGGCTTCACAGGGAAATGTCGGGGAGAATAAATTAGACGCACGTACAGCGCCGCCATCGTAATTTGAATGTCTCCCCACTCTCTGCGACTTGGCTTGAGATTCAGTCTTGTGCGGGCACCAAGGCTCGGTTACGACCACGGTGGGGACTGAGGTTGGAGCTCACCCTGTAACTGGATTTTGGGGAAGTTTCTGGCCAGTACTGCTTATCAGCACAATGCACGGTGCATCTGAACCCGTCAGTTTGACTCTAAATCACTCAGGGCACCAGAAATTCCTTTAATCAGAGTCAGAATGTGAGACCCTGGAGACAAAGTTTCTGGGCTTTTCGATGAATATGATGTTCAGTGAAAAACAAAAACAAAAACAAAAACAAAACGAAACAGCCAGCATCACCAAAAAAAAAAAAAAGTTGCAAAATTGTTTCATAATTCTGTGACTCTGGGACCATCTTGGATAAATTAAAAAAAAATCTTATCATAGTTCCAGCCTGTCTTTCTACTTAGCAACTCTTTTCTCAGCTCAATAGGTCCAAGTGACTAAGGAAAGAAGAAACGAGTAACCAAGGCAGAGAGAAAACCCAGATTTGCTCAGACACTGCTGGAGCAATTTTAGACTGATCTCCAGCAGAGACAGAAGAGTTTCTTCACTTGAAGACGACACCCACTCTTTTTACCGAATGGCTCGTGTGTTGTGGCCCCTACCAGACAACTGACAGATCCGCTTCATCTTGCAGAGGGAGGAAGGAAGGAGGGGGCCTCTGAGTGGAGGGAGATCGTGGAGCACCTTTCCTTGAGCTGAGAGGCGGGCGATGCCTCCCTTGGTTACCAGGTTCGACCACGATTGCACTCGGAAGGTTTCCGTGCAGCACCATGGCCGCCAGGCCAGCCTAAGGGGAAGAGAGGCTCCGGTGAACGGCTCGTCTTGTTCTGTGGTTTATCTGGGGGAGCCTCACATTCATAAGGGGGATGACTAGGTGAGGAAATCCACCAGGAGTATCGGCAAGTGGAGAAATTCCTAGGTGTCATCTCCTCTTTTTTTATATCTTTTCTTTCTCATTTTGCAAAATACGTCTAATCCTAAGTTGATTATTTCTGGCCTCAGAATTGACCGAATAAAGGTTTTCCATCACAGCTCTATCTCCTGCCTACGCGTGTAAACCGCGGGCCCAGACCATCGCTTGTTGAAAGCGCCCAGTCTGTTCCCAGAGCGTTTTGGTGTTTTCGTGCGTTCGCCGGCTTTCCTCCCAGTCTCTCACTGCAGCCACCCTTCACTGCGTCACCCTGACAGTCAGTGCGGTGGGAGATGCTGCAGGCACACAGCTTGCACAGCATCCTCATAGCCCTGCTCCCGGGCCCTGCATCCTCCAGCTCACACCCTGGCCCCCGACTCATTCTTGTCCCACATCCCGCCCCCTTCAGACTCCCGGGCATTCTGGCAATAAGCGCATTTCCAGCTGTGGGTGCCTTCCAAGCTCCTGGCTGGTGGGATCACTGCTTCTTTAAAGGAAACCCGCCACGCCAGAGCTGACTCGCCTTGGACCCATTCTCCTGGCCTTCCCGAAACTCGTTCTTACTACTGGTTCCCTCTCGAGATGGGATCTGTCCCTCGTCGACCTGAGTGCTGTGATCTTGACCTTTCCTTGTCTAGCTCAGCTCAGTCTTCATTATTTGGATGTTGAGGAGGTGAGTGTGTATTGCGAGGAGCTGGGGGAGTGAAGCCGGCTGATGCTCACCCCGCCCCTGCACGGAAATCTAAGTGATAGTGAGAATAAGAACAGAGAGTGTATGGTCAAAGGGTACCGATGCATTAGGTTTATTTATTGGCCCGGCAAGTGCTCATGGCTGACAGGATGCACGCGCTCTGGCATGGCTGACTTTCTAGAAGCAGGGATCTGACCCTTCTTCCCCCATCTCCCAAAATTAAGACTTACCCTATTTAGACAGCGGGGTTGTCTGGAGAACCCTGTGCTGCGTGGCAAGCTGTCAGCGTCATCAGCCTGCCTTTCTACACCTCTAACTGACATGATAAAGGGAACAAAGGATCAAAATATAGAACTAAGTTATCACTGGTTAGGAAAAACGAAAGTCACTGACCATCTGAAATTCTAACCACTCAAGTTAATGGTCGCTGTGTGTGGTGGAGTCGAGCTGGGCACTAAGGGAGCCATCTGGGCCTTCCCTCTTGCGGGCAAAGCTGCACAAGGCCCTCCTTCATGGAAACTGGAGGTCTTGGAGGAGAAATAATGGCCTTTTCTCGACAGCATTGTACTTGATTTTACTATTCCTTCAAACCTCCCGGACTGCCACTGCTTGACACCTTCCATCAAGCGATCAAGCCTCTCTCTTTGAAACGGCAGTCTTTTACTTTCCCAAGGATGCTCTAGAGACAAAGCTTTCACGCAGAGAAAACGGTCCCAATTATCGGGATTTCCAGTCTCGTCTGGACGGGGCTAGTGAATGACGTATAGATGGAAGGACCAGTAATAACGGAGTTCAGGTCCAGGGCTCTGAGATTTCCAAAGTGCTTTTACGCCATCCTTTTACTTCACCTTCCAAGAACACTGTCAGTTGTGTGAAGTAGGCAGCCCTGGTCCACACGTTCAGAGAGCTTGAGGGAAACTGCCCAAGGTCACGTGGGTAAGAGACAGACAAATCAAGACTAGAATGCAAATATCCCCAGTGCTCCAGGAGACCAGTTCTGGAGCACGCCCTTACTCTCGGAAAGGTCCCTGCTTTGGCGTGGTTATGGTTTGAATTATTCCCTCTCCCCTACCCAAAGAAAGATATATTGAAATCCTCCCTCCATTGCTTCAAAATGTGATATTACTTGGAAACAGAGTCATCGCAGATGCAATTAGCTAAGTCTTGATGAGGCTACACTGTTGTCGGGCGGGCCCCTAATTCAGCATGACTGGTGTCCTTGTAAGAACACGGCCACGTGTAGACGGGGACTCACAGAGAAGGCCACGTGATGATGACGGCAGAGACTGGACTCCACAGCTGGGAGCCAAGGGATGCAAGAGTGCCAGGAAGTCATCAGAAGCTATGATGAGGCAGAGAGGGGTTTCACTGCGGGTTTCAGAGGGAGCATGTCTCTGCCGACACCTTGACTTTGACCTTCTAGCCCCTTGACCTGCGAGAAAATAAATTTCTGTTGTTGTAAGCCAACCCGTTGTGTGCTTTATAACGGCAGCCCCAGGAAACTGACCCAGGCATCGTACAAGATCCTCCCTGTGATGGTTCAGAATAATTCGAACCACTACATAGTTCTTCTTCTTCTAAGTCACTTGTCCCTTTAATCTTCTTAAATCCCTTTTTACCTTTTGACGCAGGCTCGCTTTGAGATGTTCTTGGAGTGGTGTGGTTCATCCACTTTTTCTCCCCTCTATGACTTCTTTTGAAACCCTACCTATTTCCTAATACCCTATTTAAATTCCCCCCTTCCCCTTTAGGTTTCTCTGACTGCCTCTCCCCTGCTCTGCCCCTTCTTGTCATGAGTCCCGCTGTCAAGGCACTTAAGATGATCATGACGGGAACTGTACTCAAACATTAGCTGTGAGCCTCTAATTTCTCAAAAGAAACCAACAAGCGAACAAAGTAACAGAAGCTGGGCTGCCGTTGAAACACGTTCTGTATGTACCTTCTGGCGTTGAGTAAAGTGCCTGGTGACGAACCAGCAGAACAAAGTGCAGACCAAGAGGATCGGTTTGATAGGAACCAGAAATTTCAGCAGGCTGCCAGTGTCTTCACAGGTGTGTGTGTAACACTGGTTATTTTTTAACTTTTATAATGGAAGTGTTCAAACATACGCAAAAGTGAAAAGGACAGTAAAGTGAATACTCATGTCGGAGTTGCTAGAACAGTCAGTTGTTACTTTATGACCAGTCTTGTGTCATCGTTGACCCTTCTTGTCACCAGTCCAGATTATTTTGAAGTAGATCCCTATTATTCCATCAGTAAATTTGTCGGCTTATATCTCTATCTCTATCAAATAAGGGCTTCTCTGTAAAGTATCATCACCACATCTAAAATAATAAACAAAACAGGTTTAAACTGTGTAGCACAGGGAACTATATTCAATATCTTCTTGTAACTTATAATGAAAATGAATATAAAAATGATGTATGCACGTGTAACTGAAACATTATGCGGTACACCAGAAATTGACACAACATTGTAAACTGACTATAATTCAGTTTAAAAGAACACTGGACAAAATCATGTGAGACCACAGGGAGAAGGCAGTCACCTCCAAGCCAAAGAGAGAGGCGTCAGATAAAACCAAAACTCCTAATACATTAATTTCGGACTTTTAACCTCTAGGACTATTAGGAAATAGAATTCTGTTGTTCAAGCTAAAAAAATAAATAAATAAGCAGAAGTTTCTTATGTCATCAACTATCCAGACAGTGTTTAAAATGTCCCTTATTTCATAAGTGCTTCTTCTTTTTTATTTTTTGTAGTTTGTGAGTTTTTCATATGAATGATACAGTCAAAAATGATAATTATAAAAAAAATGCAATACAATAATATTTTTTAAGCACACACTCTGTGCCGAGCACTATGTGCTAATTAAGCATTATAGCTTATTTTATCCTCAAGCTTAAAAAAATTCTTATTATTATCATCCCTATTTTATGAATGAGGAAACTGGGGCCCAGACAGGCTGACTTCTCGCCCAGGGTTGAAGAGGTGGGCAGTGACAGAGGCGTTTCTAGAGCCCAGGTTGCTGCCTCTGGGTGCCAGGCTCCTTCCAGAACGCCACACTGAGTGTCGGCTCAGCTGCTCCCCGGGGGAGCTCGGACAGAGCCGCCTTCCTGAGCATGTGTTGGACGAAGTCTGTAACAACTTGTTGCAACATTACTTCCAGGTCAGATGCACCCTAATAGCTAACATCAGAAGACAGCATTCGTAGGTAAAATAATTTGGCTTAATCGCGGTGCTTCATCGTCTTTTCACTCATCCATTTGCTCCTTCATTCACTCCATGGTCATTTCTGACTGTCTGCTATGAGGCAGGCACTGGGGACACAGACATACAGGACAGCCCTTGACTTGGAAGAGGGACTGAGTTGTACATTTACTTAAAACTTGTCCATGGCTTCACTCTGGAGGCAGAGAAACGTGCATATTCACTAGTTACAGTGAGAGGGTGAAGTGGTTGGAAAGAGCCTCACCTAATTGACAAGCTGCATCTCCCTCGCCCAGCGTCCCGGCGCCACCGGACACACAGTGTCCCAGCAGGTCTCCTCCATCACTCACCTCATTCGTCTCCCTTCACAACACCAGCCCTGAGGACAAGGCACCGATGTGGCAGTCTCTTGTCCCAGCACTTGCCGTGGGCTTCCTTATTTAATCCTCGTAATAACTCTGTTGAAGTAACTGGATGCATTATCTCCATTTTACAATTTATGGGACTCAAGTAGAGAAAATTGAAGACAACAGAATTTGGGGCTTAGCCATTTGTCTCCAGAGCCTTCCTTCTTAGCTCCTACAACAGGCTTGTCTGGAAAATTAATTTGCTCTTAACTTTGACCAGTGTTAGGTCCCAGACTAGGTGGAGGGTGGGATGAAGCTGAGTAACAACCCTCAATCAATCATGCGGACATGATCGCCTGTCAATTCCCACGATATTTATGTATGTTTGATTTTGAGCAATGGAGGATTTAAACACAGCTCCTTTATATAAGATATTGTAACAGTTAGACTCCTTTGCAGACTCCTGCTTGGGGCAGGTTGTTTCAGCCTCTCCCTGCAGTTTCCCCTTTTCCAGGATTAATCTTCCCACCTCCCTTCTTTTGTCATGCACCCGCTCTTTCAGTGCCCAGCTCGCTTGCTCCTGGACACACTGACCACGACAGCTTGCAGTCTGCCCTCTCCTTGTGCAT